TGGATAGTCCTCTTAGTCTTAATGGTAGCAACTGCGGCGTTAACGTCCTTAGGTACAACGTCACCACGGTACATCATACAGCAGGCCATATACTTGCCATGACGAGGGTCGCACTTGACCATCATGGAAGCGGGCTCGAAGACGGAGTTGGTAATCTCGGCGACAGAGAGCTGTTCATGATAGGCCTTCTCGGCAGAGATGACCGGAGCATATGACGTGAGCATGAAATGGATACGAGGGTAGGGCACCAAGTTGGTCTGGAACTCGGTAACATCCACGTTGAGGGCACCGTCGAAACGGAGAGAGGCGGTGAGGGAGCTGATGCACTGAGCAATCAGACGGTTGAGGTTGGTGTAGGTGGGCCTCTCAATATCGAGATTTCGACGGCAGATATCATAAAGGGCCTCGTTATCCATCTGGCAAGTGACATCAGTGTGCTCGAGAAGAGAGTGGACGCACAACACTGTGTTGTAAGGCTCTACTACCGCAGTAGAGACCTGAGGACAGGGCCAGATAGTGAAGGAGAGCTTCGACTTCTTGCCGTAGTCGACACTGAGGCGCTCAAGAATGAGGCAGCCCAAGCCAGAACCGGTACCACCACCACAAGCGTTGAACACGAGGAAGCCCTGCAGACCAGTACAGTTATCAGCAAGCTTGCGGATACGGTCAAGACAGAGATCGACGATCTCCTTGCCAATGGTGTAGTGACCACGGGCGAAGTTGTTGGCCGCATCCTCCTTGCCGGAAATGAGTTGCTCAGGATGGAAGAGCTGCCTGTAGGTACCGGTACGAACCTCATCAATAACAGTGGGCTCGAGATCGACAAAGACGCATCGAGGGACATGCTTGCCGGCACCAGTCTCCGAGAAAAAGGTGTTGAAGGCGTCATCACCACCACCGATAGTCTTATCAGAGGGCATCTGTCCATCAGGCTGAATGCCGTGCTCGAGGCAGAAGAGCTCCCAACAGGCATTACCAACCTGAAGACCACCCTGGCCGACGTGGATGCAGATAGCTTCACGCATGTTGAGGGATTAAAGGAGGCGCTTGGTTAGCGACAAATAGATTCTGAGAAAAACAGTACAAGAGGACGGTCCGAGAGTTAAGAAGGCTCGCATGTCCACATACACGTAACTAAACAAGACCTGTCGGCAGTAGATAAAACTGAGAACTTTGAAAGTCAAGGAAGATACTGAGACACATGAGATACTGCCTAAGATCTTGTCTTGATCGATTTGGAGAATTGAAACGGTTTGGGAATCTCCTGAGAAACCACCAATCGCAACGGCGAGGCTGCAAGCATACTGCCTAGTCTGAAATGAATGAATCACAAACACTTCTGGGGATGCCAAATCCGCATTGCAATGGCCTGAGCGGAGTTGAATCAAATCATAGAAATGACGTCCCTAAATTTCATCTACGTTAACAACGGATATCAAGATAAGCGAGACATAAGATAGGTAATACTAACAAGAAGAATACGACTTACAATCCTCATAACTCTCTGAATATCTCCTGCTGCCTTCACATTTGCTTGCAACAAGCATCGCGTACTCGGCAACAAAGCAACGTTTTATCTCATCGACATTGAGTGACAAGAGTGACTTCATCATCATTAGTTTTCCAACAATGTGCTCAAAGTTTTCAAGGCGAACCTCGATAGTCACGCACTCAGGCCCGGACCCAAAATCTTACAACGCAACAGCAACAAGGATTCACCACCAATCATTACACAGCTGATGTACCAGCTGAAGTGACAGAAGTTATCGCGGAGAAGCAAAGAGATTGACTCCATACTAATACCGACTTATAACTGACACGTCCAACCCTGTAGACCCTGGAAGCGCTAGAACTA